GAGTGTGTGTGTGTGTGTGTGTGTGTGTGTGTGTGTGTGTGTGTTGTTTGCATTGGACTGGTTGCTTCTTAGGCTGAGGTGGATTAATGTGGGAATCTCTGGTCTTTGAATATAGCCTAGCACCACCCCTCACCCCCTCAAGACTTTAATTTAGGGTCATGAGGTGCTATGATTATTCTTGCCTGCAGGTGGCGCTCAGGGAGCCAAGTCACCACTTCCCCTTTCTCCTTTCCTGTTTCCTGCTCTTCACTCCACCTGCTGAGGCATCTATGAATTCCATCAGTGGGACCTCCCCCTTGACACCCTACTACCTCCTGCCCCCTGAGGCTTCTCTAGGTGCCATAGAAGATGTCCTGTAGCCAGCCTTCTCTAAAGAACAGTGATGGCTAGACAGTAGGAAGAGCTTCCTGGAAGTAGAACAATTGGGCCTTGGGAAAGGTTGGGAGAAAGAGGGGCCTGTGGAAGATTTGATGCAAACTGGACACTTTTTCTAGGAACCAGAGTAGGTTCCTAGTAGAAGGCATACATACTGCACAGTGTTACTCAGACCTAGAGATGGGTACTGTTTACCAGAGATGTGGTCTTCGGTTTGGGAGGTCAAGGTAGTCTCTCCTTCTCCCAGAGACAGAGCCAGTGATAGCCTTATATTAAGTTGGGAACATTTAACCTGAGGATCCCTCAACACTTGGGATAGGAGACACAAACCATCTCTAGCCTGTCTTGATGCTTATAGGTTCTAAAACTATGTGGGGTGCCCATGACAGGCCAGACTGTCAGCATCCTGACAGATGCGTAGAACATCTCTGGGGAATGAGGTTGTTGAGTTCCTGCAAGGGCAGCCAGGCATCACCCAGGAAGTACAAAGCACAGCCTTAGGAGGTGTGGGACTCAGAGAGCCTGGTGCAGCCCTGGGGAACCCAGGTACCTTCTCAAGGAACAGCCTGTGTACTAGCTGTAGAAGAGGGAAGGAACCCAGGCTACATAGGGTAGAGTGGATGTGTGCATGCTAGAGTGGTTGCAGGCTCACTTCCTGTGGGCAAGCATAGGACTCAACTGTCCTCTTAGCCTAGCTCCTGGCCACCAAGGTTTTTCTGAAGTTTGCTTCCCGGATGAGTCCAATGTTCTGGCCTGACTGGCTCAGCTCCCTCTGGACAGCGCAGTGTGTGTATGACTGAGGATGGGTTCCCCAGAACATTGTATAAACACACCTTGCCTGTGCTTACATACATGCACACATGTGTATAGACAGGGCTTGCGCAGACACATGTAAATGCAATCACACAAAGGACACATGACTACTCCACCTCCCCATCTCAGTGAGGGCCACCAGCTGCCCTCACTTGCCCAGCTCTCATTCATTGCCTATGACCCTCTGTCCCTACTGAGAAAGGCTTCCCCCCTCCCTCGTTTCTCTCTCTGCCATTGTGTCCCCTAAAGCCACAGAAGACTCTAATGAAGATCAAACGAGGCCTGAACTACAACTTACTCTCAGAACCCCACTTGGCTCTGCCTTCCAAGATGCCAGCCTTCGGATGAGCTTCACCTAGCCCCTGCCAGCAGGGAGCCAATCTCTGCTGAGTCCCACGCAGAGTTCTCTACCAGAGGACTTGCTTGGGCAGAGAGGGATGAGAGAGGACATTTTGCAGGAGCCAGGCAGGTGGGTGCAGAGGCTACTGGAGTGTAGACAGGGGCCCAGTGTTCTGACATCCAGACTTCTTCCTATGCCTACCTAGCAACAGCCTACAGCCAGGCCCTGCTATGGCTCTCTCTTGTATTGGCTGTGATGCCCTAGGGCCAGCTGTGACTTTTTCAAGGCTGAGGGTGAGGCAAGCTCAAGTCTGAGATGCTTTAGAGCAGCAATATTCAACCCGTGTGGGTTGTGACCCCTTTGGGGGTCTGCATATAGATATCCTGCATATCAGATATTTACATTACAATCCATAAACGTAGCAAAATTATGAAGTCAAAATGAAATAATTTTATGGCCGGGAGTCACCATATTATGAGGAACTGTACTAAAGGGCTCCAGCATTGGAAGGTTGAAAACACTGCTTTAGAGGATGACTCTGGAAGAGGCAGGAGCCTCAGCACCTCCCTCCTTTGGTGGTCCCATGCCCCCTGGCAGGAGTTTTAGGAACCCTGTTTGAGGACTCCATAGGTGATGTTTGTTGAAGACTTTGGAGTTTCCCAAGGGTAACGGTGCCTGAGAGGACACTGGACATTGCTCTCACCTGCTCATTTTCCATCTCTCTCATTGTGACCTCCTACACCCTTAATAACCAGTCTAGAAATGTTCCCCCTACCATAACTGTCTCTGTCTCTAGGCCCTGCTTCCTGCTTCCTGCTTCCTCCATATCCTTTTTTGGTCCCCAGCCTGCAAGTGAGCCCTTGGATGTCTGATGGGTCATTTAAGGGACAGATCTGTGACTGTGCTGTCACTGGCCTCCATGGCCACCTCCTGTCCCTGGAACAGACACTGGGAACCTATGTCCTTGGCCAGTACTCAAGGAGGAGTTGGCCATCCTACAAGAGTTGACTGATGACAAGAATCTGGCCACCAGGGACACTGGGAGGGCCCTTGCTCAGCTAGTGCCCTGTGGTCCTGGGATGGTGGCAAGTAGGGGCAAGGCAAGGATCCTCTGTGGACTTTATTGGCCATCTGTGAAGTGGATCCCATAGGCTCTCTGTTGTAATGTCAGAATGGAATTATGCACCATGCACTGTCCTTCCAAAAACTCAAGATGAGCTTGCCTGTGTTTCTTACCAAGCTGACCCTTGGAGGCCAGTGTCACTGGGCTCTATGGACACCTCTGATACTCCACACTGCCTGTCTAGGTTTGGAGCTCAGAATATATGTCAGGCTATGCTCATTTTCCAAATGGGATACTAGAGGCCTAGGGGCTGGTGATTGTATCTGACCTCAGATCTGGAGGTAGAGGCTCCAGAACCAATGCCTTCCTGTGAGGAGAAAGCCCAGGATCCGGTGGTCCTTTCGAGGACCCTTGGTAAAAGGCAGTGGATTTGAAGATAATCACAGCCATCACAAGATGGCCTGGACTTTCTAGGTACCATGAATGAGGCAGAGTGAGGGTGGCTGGCCTGGGGTGGAATAGCAACCATGGGTGGTTGTACCAGGCTTGGCTAAATGTTTCCTGCAGACCTTACCAACATTACCCTGGGTCTGGTGCTGACCTCTGTCTTTCATAGTGGGAGTGGACGCCCCTGGGTAGGTCTCTGCTGAGGGACAGGTATCAGGAACAACAACAGAGCAAAGGGCAGACTGAGGGACTCAGACCACAGCTTCTCTGGTTCCATAATGGGGTGGGTGGTCAGGGTGACCTCTGTGAGGTCACCTCGAAGGTCACCCCTAAAGGTGTTTACCTCAGAGCTGACAGAAGTAGAGATAGGAGACATGGAGAGGGCTTCCCAGGGTGCATGGGGTTGCCATGGTTATAAGTTAGCAATGTAGCTTTGGACTTTTTAAAGACCATGATGTACTGGAGTGTGTGTGTGTGTGTGTGTGTGTGTGTGTTTTGATCCTCCTTCTGAGGGATAGTTGAGGTCCTGCCCATTCTATAGAGACACAAACCGAGGCTCTGTGAGAACAGTCCAGTTTCAAGCATCCCGACTTCCATCACCTCAGAAACTTCCACCCAGGCTGGGGCAGGGCCTAGAGGTTGAAGCCTGCTCAGGAGGCAGTCCAGGAAGGATGCCAGGATGGATGCAGAGTTGTGACCGATCTTGAATTGCTGGTCAGTTGGGCCCAGGCTGCAGGACACAGAGAGTCCCTGGGGTGGGGCAGGCTGTTCCATACACAATCAGCAGTGCCAATGAATCTGCATCTAGAGGCTGAGAGGGGAAGGAAGGAGGAGCCTGGCAAGGACCTCGCTTCTTCCCCTCCTGGTTCAGCTGTGGAGGGACAGCGGCGAAACTGATGTCTCTAACAAGGCAGGTCTGGGCTGGGTGGCATGCCTCATGCTGAGCCCAGACTAACCCTCAGGAGTGCACAAGGGAATCACCTCGTGGTGCCAGTCCTGAGGATGGAAGGTCTTCCCCAGAGACACTAGCTCATGGTCAGTCCAGGGTATGGGCTGTGTTTTCTTACCCACTTCCTATGACCTGGAGGATGTCACGTATTCTCTGTGCCTCAGCTTCCTCATCATGAAATGTGGGGTAACTGTGTAGCCACACAGAGCTAGAGGTAAGGTGAGGGCACAAGAGGCAGATAGGAGATCGAGGAAGGGAATCCCCAGCTGTAGTGCACGGGGCAGGGCCCGTCATGGATGGGAAGCAGGTAGTGAGTGCTGCCATAGCAACACCATGTCTGAAGCCCTTCACCTCCAGGGCTGCATCCTACGTCCTTTGATATACCCGGTCCAGGTTTATGGAAAGGTTTATGGGAATGCCATGGTGACCTCTCTCCTCTTCTCTTCTGCCTGCTTCCATGCTTGTATGATTGACAGATTTTCAGGAAGGAGAAAGGCCATTGAGCTGGAAGCAAAGGTCAAGAGAGGGCCTGAGAGAGCCTGCCTCTTACTCCTGGGGGGACCAGAGGATGTGAGCAAATCCAGGGTCCATAATTAACCAGGCATGGCAGTAAAGGACTGCAGAGCATAGCTTGTCCTCCTTACTCAGGAAGAGTGAGCAGGAGGTGCCCTGGGTTGGACCACTGGTGGAGACAGAGAAGCAGGTAGACAGAAAAATTGCCTCACGCCTCACTAAGTTTCTGCCTCTTTAAGCCCTGAGACCATGATTTTTTTTTTCTTTCAGCTACCGTTGGAAGCCACAGGCAAACACCAGGAGCCTGGACTTTAGGAGTCGTCGTTGCTGCTCTCTCGGTCCCCTGAAATCCTGCCCTGCCCCCACCTTGCCTTCACCCAGCCCCTGCCTCTGGCTCACTGCCCTGGACGGCCCTGCCTGTTGCCGGACCCTGGCATGTCAAGGCCTGGCCTCCGCTTGCCTGCCCAGCCCGCGGAACCCCAGCGGCCCCGCGAGCTAGGATGAGGGGCCAGGCTGCTGCCCCGGGCCCCATCTGGATCCTTGCTCCACTCCTGCTGTTACTATTGCTACTGGGGCGCTGGGCACGTGCTGCCTCTGGGGCAGACATAGGGCCTGGGACAGAGCAGTGCACCACGTTGGTGCAGGGCAAGTTCTTCGGCTACTTCTCCGCGGCTGCTGTATTTCCAGCCAACGCCTCGCGCTGCTCTTGGACCCTTCGCAACCCGGACCCTCGTCGTTACACGCTCTACATGAAGGTGGCCAAGGCACCTGCACCCTGCAGGGGCCCTGGCCGAGTTCGTACCTACCAGTTCGACTCTTTCTTGGAGTCCACACGCACCTACCTGGGTGTGGAGAGCTTTGACGAAGTTCTGCGGCTCTGCGATCCCTCTGCACCCTTAGCCTTCTTGCAGGCCAGCAAACAGTTTCTACAGATGCAACGCCAACAGCCACCCCAAGACGGTGACCTCGCTCCCCAGAGCGAGTTCCCCAGCTCTGGTGACGACTTCTCCGTGGAGTACCTGGTAGTGGGCAACCGCAACCCCAGCCATGCTGCCTGTCAGATGCTGTGCCGCTGGCTGGATGCCTGTCTAGCCGGCAGCCGCAGCTCACACCCATGTGGCATCATGCAGACTCCCTGTGCCTGCCTGGGTGGAGATGCGGGAGACCCTGCTTCCAGCCCCTTGGTCCCCCGCGGGGACGTCTGCTTGAGGGACGGCGTAGCTGGTGGCCCTGAGAACTGCCTCACCAGCCTGACCCAGGACCGGGGTGGGCACGGCTCAGCAGGTGAGTGGCATCCAGAGAACCCTGTACAATTCTGTAGCAGATGGACTGGGAGCATGCAGGAGAGTGCAGTCCCCAAGGCTGGGGTCTATCCAGCATTGCTTTTGTCATCCGGGTTGAGAGACCATGTGTAGAATTCAAATCACCAATGGCTCTGCGTTCCCAGGATAGAAAGCCTAGCTCACATAGGGTGTGGCATGTGAGTGAGCGAGGAAAGACAGGATCAGTAGCCAGTTTCCTCAAGCCACTTCCTCAGTTTAAATCTCCCACACTGGGAGGATGCTAATCTTCAACAATGACATTTTCCAGCATCCCTAGGTTGCATACCTGGCGTCTAGGGACTAAAGCAGACGTCGGTGCTGCCCCAAGGTGGCTCATGGGAGCAAGCATAGACTGAGTATTCATAGGGCTGTTGCCAGGAAGTAAGGTGTTGGGGCTCAGTGTAGCATGTCTACAGCAGCTGCCACAGGGGTGTGGCAACGAGGGCAGGGACAAAATGCCATCCTTGGCCAGGGGCCACAGGGAGAAGACACACCACCCAACAGTATGTAGCCATCACAGGCAGAACCAGGGTTTCACAGACACCCGGAAGCCCAGTGTTGAGGAAACCATTATCTTGACTCAAGGCTAGAGACCTCATGGGCTGGAGACCTGAGGACAGGGGCCTCAGGATGGCAGGGTCCAGGCCTGATGGGGATGCGTGGGGTTGATGGCTGGTTATGGAGCTATCAGTGTATCTTTATGAGTGTCCTGTCTGTAACAGGAGGTAGGCCCTGCCTCTGTGAACTGGAGGAAAGAAGATGTAGGGGTGTCCAAGATTTGAGCTGGAGACACAAGCTAAGTCAACATCAAGGGGACACTAGCAAGTCTATTCCCTGCTTGGTGTGTAGAGCCAGGGCAAGGCCTGGCTGAAGACTCCATGCTGGGGGAGCCTAGAGTGGGATTAGCATTTCAGAGACCATGAGGCCATGCAGGCTGCAAAGGAATTATCCAAGTCCAGGCACATTTCTGGTCAAGACCCTATGACAGATCCCAGGTCTGAATCTCTGTGAGGCCGAGGCTGAGCTGACCTCTCCCGGGTTCTCAGAGGAAATTCTGAACACCTCATTGTGAGAGGCAAAAAGGTGGAGGACCAGCCTTCCTGCTGGCTAGGTTGGAGGTCAGTGTGACCTTGACAAAGGCAGGTTTCATTGTGTGACAGGAATGGGAGTGGACCCAAGGGGAACCCTGGAGGAATGGTGTGTTCACTCCCTGGAAGACTAGAGAGATGGGGTGGGAAGACGCAGGAGGACAGGGCCAGCTGTCACAAGCAGATCTGGCCATGTACCATGTTCTCCCATTCCTCATCATTTAACTGCTGTGAGCTTTGGTTCCTATAACTGCAAAATGCTTCTTGAGGTTGCACCATCACCTTGATTTGATTTGTTTCTGGCTGGGGTCACAGTCATACCCCCTGGGCAGGAGCTCATCCTCAGTGGCATATTGGGGCAGCTACTGTGCCAGGGAGCTGCTGAATATTGCTCCAAAGCCCTTGGTACAGCTGCCAAGCAGCCAAGGCCTCCAGAGCTGGCTTGATAGATGCTGGGGTCACCAAATAGAGGTGCTTGTGTGCTATGGGGCCGGAGGCAGTGTGTAGCTGCATTTATTTCCCAAGGAATGAGTATGTGAGCCCCTTGCTGCAGGAGCCGTGAAGTAGCCAGGTTTCTCTGTGTTTACATGACCTTGAGAACAGAAGGACTTTGGGAGGGCTCAGTGCAAAGGAGTGATGTACCGGGGCTCCTCACAGGAGCCAGGATGGGGAGGTGGCTGATGTTGGCCTGGTCATTTGCAGTGGGAAAGAGGAGGAGGAGGAGGAAGAGGAGAAAGGGGAGGAGAAGGGGAGAGCTTTTGGTGCAACTGAGGGACTGTGGATGAAAGGGTGTGGGTGTGGATGCAGGAAGAGCAAGCCTGGCCCCCAGCATCCCATCAGGAATGAGGACATCCATGTGGGACAGTGGAAGCAGGACTGCAGGTGAAGCTTAAGGACGATTCTGAGGTCAGAATAGAACTTGAGGCTGAGAGACGTGTGTAACAGAGGTCATAGGGTACATGAGCCTAGCTCTGTCCCTGGTGAATGCGTACAGGCCCAGGCTGGAGCATTGTTGGAACCCCACCTTTGAGTCTTGAGTCTGACCCTAGCTCATCTGTGTTTCTTGGCCATCCCCTCAATTCTCATTGCTGGGGGCCTAAGAATGCCTTCTTCTGTCTCTGTGAGGAGAAGTGTGGGGTGGAGCAGCCAATGGTGAAGGATTAGTGTTCGTGTTTATTGCTAGGCAGACTCTTGGGGCCTAGGAGCAGAGTCAGACTGAGGCAGGGGAGTGTACAGGTTGAGCCTGGGCAGTTTGAGGATCAGGGGGGTATATGAATGCTGACAATGTTGCCAAGTAGTACTCAGAGGCAAGTGGGAGGTGTGTGTGTGCATGGATGTACATGCATGAATTATACATATGTGTATGGTACGGTGCATAGCTTGTGTCCACATATGTACATTTCTGCATATGTATATGGTGGCTGCACCCATGTATGTATACATATGTAAAGTGTATTTGGCGCATATGTATTCACACAATCACGTGTTCACATGTATGACACTTGGAAACCCAGTGGGTATACTGATTTGATGATTGTGTTCACAGGTTTTTTGCATATGTGTGAACACAGTCATATATGTATGCCAACATTGTGTGAGCCCGCTATGTTCTTGTTTTTTGCTAGGCAGACTCCTAGCAATACACACACAAAAAATTGTGTGTCTACATGTGTGAACACATGGGTGTTCACGCAGCACATTGCATGAACTATATATGCATATGACTGTACATGCATATGGGGGTGTATGCATATATGCCTGGTATACATGTACCATGCACTGAGCATGTATGTTCATGGGTGCATGTTGAGTGTGTACACGTGTATCCGGGGTGGGCTCCATCTGTTTGCATTGCTTGGCTGCTGGTCTATTGGAAGATAGTTTGGAGAACACAAAGGTTGGGCCCTAAGAATATGACGCAGGGAGTGCATTCTTGTGGGTAGGATAGACTGACCACTCAGCTCACATCAGGTGCCTGCATCCTGCATTCAGGCTCTGTCACTTCCTGGCCGTGGGAGGGGAAGGAGCCCAACAGTGACAGCAAAGGCTGGTCACTGAGTACGGACTTTGTTCTAGAAGTGTCGCATATAGGTGAGGTCCCCCTTCACATGACCATGAGTCAGATCCCAGCAGACGCTGTCCCTACATTGCTCACATGTTCACAGTGGCTCTGCCTCCTGAGGACCCCTCCTTCTGCCCTCCCCAGGCTCCTCCTGGAGCCTTGCTTATGTGTGCCCTGCCCAGTGAAGCACTTTTCCCCTTTCTGCCTTCCTTGATAAGAATCACTTTCAACCGTGCCATACAACTCCTCCAGTGGGCCTCTTCCTCACTGTCTGTGTTAATCTGTGAGCACCAAAGATTCTGGGCACACACCCCATTCACTGATGCTTCCCAAGTGTGCAGGACAGAACCAGGCCCAAAGTAGGCACTCAGCACATGCTTGTGAAATCCTGCCAGAGGTAGGTCAGGTCACATAGTTTGAAAGAGATACACTAACAGCAGACTACCAGGTGACATTGTATGTTCTGAACTCTGCCTCGGTGGTGTCAGTGACTAAGGATACACGTTAGGCAACCATTCATGCTGAGTCAGAATGTGTAGCTGATACCCTGCTCTTGCCTGCTGAGCTCTGTGCCCCAGACCTTTGCCCTCACTGTCTTCTGGGAGCAGGCAAGCTTGGGCACTGATCCCCTCCTAAGTCAAGCAATGGAGATGGAGAGTCAGCAGGCAGCCAACAGAGTGAGTGCATGGCCCATTTTCATCCCTGCCCCCACACAAGGCCTGTCCAAATGCCACATGGCCGTGCCACACATTGGATTCCAGGCTAGGGCAACTGCCCCTGCTGCCTAGTCTTCTAAAGCTGCCAGGCCCTGGCACCAACCCTTACCTTACACTGTCCCCAACTCCCTGTGTCTGTTACCTCCACCACCTCTCTCATGTCTCTACCACTGGTGAGGTGGATCATTTCTCTCAAGGGCTGCTTTAAATATTCATGTTTTAATTAAAGAATATTATTGCAGAAATGACATGTAAGATAATGAAAAAGCAGGATTCTGGGGGTGGGGCCTTGTGAGTTCCTGGGAGTGAGTGTGTCTCTGTGTGTTCTTGTGCGTCTCTGTGTCATCGTATGTCCTCGTGAGTGTGACCCATGAGCCCTTCTTTGTATATCTCTGTGAGTTTGTCCCTGTGAGTTCCTATGTGTCCCCGTGAGTGTGTCCTGTGAGCTTGTCCCTTTGTGTCTCCATGAGTCCTTGGGAGGATGTCTCTGTGCTTCCCCATGTGTTCCCATGACTGTGTCCCTGTGCTTCCCTGTGAGTTTCCTTGGATGTATGTTCTTATGAGTGTATCACTGTGAGTGTTGCTGTGGGTGTGCATGTCAGCATATATACATATATGCATATACATATATGCATCCTCGTATATATATGCATTGCTAAACGTGTCTGTGTGCACATGCTCGAGATGGAAGGTCAGGTTGAGTCTCCACATCAGGGTGTGTGTACATGCTACACTGTCCTGGGGGCCCTGGAGTGCTCCGGGGCTCATGACTTCCCAAAGACTACAGCAGACCCCCTCACTATGCCTGCAGCCCTGCTCCTACTTGGCCATGGATCCCCCAATCTCTGTGCATCTCAGCTCCTCAAGACACCCAAGAGGAGGTGAGGCAGTATGTAGAAGTAGAGGCTGGGCCTAGGTAGAGCCTCTAGGTGTGGTTTGGGCTGCAGTGGAGTTTGTAGGGGGTGATAAGGGTAACAGAGAGGTACCATGGCCCACTATGAAGATTCTATTGCCGTCTTGGCTCTGTGTGTGTGTGTGTGTGTGTGTGTGTGTGTGTGGCGTGTGCACACATGATCATCTTAGAAACTATAGAAAACAGCCTTAAGTGCATGTTACAGTCACCTCTCCTAGAAGGAAAGGACAGGACAGGGCCCTGTGGAAATGCTGGGTGTAGTGAGCACCGTCACCCACAGGGTAATTCCCATGACTCTATCTCCTACTGTGTCACCTGCTTCAGCTCTGTGCCAGAACTGGAGCTGCTTGGCCAGGGGCAAGAAGTCCTTGTGACCTCAACTTAGGTCATGCTTCCCAGGATGATGGGAGGATGGTCAGCAGCTTCTGCCACCCACTCTGGTAACTGAGGACAGAGGCCACTTGTCTAAGGTCTCCAGCATACACTAAATGTCTTGAGCCTTTAAATAGGATACCGTGTTAGGACAGGGAACACCCAGCAGCAAGAATTTCCTACAGATGTGGACTGCTTGCTCATCTGGTGCCTTGCTTCCCGTCCCTGAGAATTGGGATTGGGACAGTACTCTGTTTGTAGAGTCTGCCTAAGGCCTAAAGGAGGCTGTGTGGCTATGGGGGATCAGGAAAGGCCAGTGCTGCACAGTCGACAGTAGATGTGTCCTCTCAATCTACCCTGGGATCTGAGTGCTGTTTCCTGCCAACCCCAACAGTTGCTGGCAGCTTGCAGCTGGTTGAATCAGAATCTGCCCAGTGAAGGGCTGTGTGGACAGGTTTCTCCACAGCCCCTGCTCTTACCCTTAGTATCTCCCTTGTTCCTGGTCCAGGAGGTCCAGACTCAGCTGTTGGTATCAGTGTCTAGGTACTTTGTGACAGTCCTGCTCCAGCTGGGTCCTTGGGGGTGGGGGTCAGGGGTCTTGCTATCCCTCTGGGCCAGGACTGTCCCTGAATCTGCCATGAGAGTCTGGAGAGCCAACTGGCAATGTGTATGAAAGATCTGCTGTCCAACCTGCTGGAGTAGGGCTCCCTCTGCTGGAAGAAGTTGGAAGTGCATGGTTCCCCTCCTCCTAAGGGGATCCCAGGAACTGGGGGGAGATTGGCTGGGGGAGGGGGATCTCCTTTCTTCTCCCCATTTCTGCCCACTTGGGGTGCAGGATCAAGGGAACCCACCACCCTCAAGCCAGGGCATTAGGGTGGGAAGGGTACCAGAGGCTCTTCAGCACACACCCTCCCTCCTGGGTGGCCGGCCTGCCTGGCCGATAATTGGCTCTATTCATGCCTGTAATGAGATGGAAATGAGGCCGCCAGACAGAGGAAGCATTGAGCAAGGAAGAATGACAGCTTCTTTCCGGGCCTGGAGGGGCAGCCCACCCCTGGGCCCTGCCTGCTCCTTCAGTGCCCCCTTGTGCCCACCAAGCCCTGACGCACCTCTGTGTCCCCCGGTGCCCTTCACTTTGGCCCCAGGACTTCTTCCTTCATAATGCTCCCTCTGGTGTGGATGCTTTCAGTCTGGGCAAACATTTATCATGTCAGCTGTGTGTGAGGACACACATTAAAAATGAAAATGATAATAAAAACAGCAGTTACCATTTTCTGAGCATTCATTAGTGAAAGGAGTGTGGCCAACGTTGGGGAATCGGTCTGTGGCTGAGATCAGGGCCCAGTATGTAATGGAGGATCAGGGATCCTCTGCCTAGGATCCAAGCTCTATGATAAGGATCAGGGACAAGTGTACAGGGCCAGATATTAGTCTGTGAGCAGGGTGAGGAATCAGTATGTGTCTGGGATCAGGGCTTAGTATACAACCACGGTCAGGACTCAGGGTATGAACAGGGTTAGGAACCGATGTATGGCCTGGATCAGGGTTCAGTGGGACCGGAGTCAGGGCTGGGCCAGAGGAAGACATCCATCCTCAGACACAGGGTCCCCTCTCCCCCAGCTTCTGATATGCCCCACCTCTTCTCTCCCCTCCCCCTCCCACATCCTCACCACCTGGGTCACCAAGGTAACCAGCCCCGAAATAGTGGGTGTTTTGGCAGCTGAGGCCTAACCTGGGTCTATCCTGAAAGGCTGTGTGCTGCAGTAGTTGCCATGGGAACTGAGTGGCATCCTCCGATTAGCCCAGCTTGGACACCCTCTCTCCCACCCACTGCCAGTTTTCACATCACTCAGGCTTCCTTGTGGGGGCTGGGCTGGAGCAGTGAGGGGGCACAAGCTGGATACAGAACCCTGACCCCACTCTATGCCTGCCTCAGAGACTCCTGGCTTCTTTGTCTGGAAGCAGCCATGGGAATATGGCTGCAGCAGGTGAGACTCCTGAGGCCAGAATGCTGAACCATGGTTGGTCCTGGCAGGTGGCCTTCCTGGGGCTGGCGGGTGGGGCTGAGATCTGGAATCAGATTTGGTTCAAGACCCAGAGTCTGACCTGGTTGAGCTGCTCCTGCATGTCCTGAGTTAAAGCATGTGACCAGCAGCCTCAGAGCAGCCACCTGGGCCCGTTCTGTGAACAGCTGCTGTCCTGTCTTTCCTATTAGGCACGTGAGGCTGTGCTGGAGGCTCTCTGCCCTCTGCTCTCAACTTTGTCTTGGTGGGGGTATCATGGCTTACCTTTTCCTGTACCCTGGTCATGCCCTTGCCCCCACCCTGGGACCCTCCTGGTGAAGGTAAAGACAGTAGTGATGCTATAGCTACTACTCAGATCTTCACCTTGGCAGAGGCGGAGGTTTGGGGCTCTGCAACAGGCATAGGAGCCTGGAAGGTGGCCCTTCCGGTCCTACCCACCTCAGAGGAGTGAGCTCTCACTAGAGGGCCAGTCACTCCCTGGAATCCCAGCGCCCCCTGCTGGTACAGTTGAGCACAAGCAAGGGAAGCTGGGCCAGCTCTCGTTGTGGTCTTTTTCCAAACCCTGAATTTGGCTCTCCTCGGGTAGATAAGGCCCAGAGAGATGCCCGTGGTCCGTGGGGCTGTCAGGCGGGACCACTCACATTCTGGAACCTACCATCTCCGAGTTGTCAGTTCAGACAGGGACTCTTCCTACCATCGTGCAAGCCAGATGTGTAGCCCAGAGTGGCCTGGACCCATTTCTTTTGCTTTGCTCAGTAGGTGGGCAGATCTGTAGTATAAGGGAGATTTCGAGGCTACCAGTTATGGGTGTAGCCATTCCCTATACCGGCTCTGGAGTGAAAATGTGGAGACTGGCAGTGACCTCAACTGGATAGGAATGCCAAGGGACAGGGACAATCTCAGGGGTTTGAAAGTTCATGGGGAGACTGGATCCAGGCGTTTCTGAATGGTTGCCCCACATTGGTCACCAGGCCTCACACTAAGAGGCAGCATGGGGTGAGCAAGAAGTGACTGTTTACTCAAAAAGTCAGCCTGGGACCACAGTGTGTACTCATCTCAGACCTACCTAGGACCTCCTGGCTCAGGGCTGACACCAGCTTTCTAGAGGGAGCCAGGACCTGAGGGCAAAGTTTCCCATGGCCTTGCCCTACCTTGCTGTCCACCCCTGCCAGACTTCGTTTCTCCTTACCCTTTCAAAGATCATAGCTACCCTTTCTGGCCTCTGCTGACTCAAAAGATGGCAGGCCCTGAGCCTCTCTTGTTTCCCAGGTGGCTGGAAACTGTGGTCCTTGTGGGGTGAATGTACGCGAGACTGCGGAGGAGGCCTACAAACTCGAACCCGCACTTGCTTGCCCACCCTTGGCGTGGAGGGCGGAGGCTGTGAGGGAGTTCTGGAAGAAGGCCGCCTGTGCAATCGCAAGGCCTGTGGTCGTAAGTGGGCAGGGCAAAGGTGGGGCTGAAGTGGTGGGCGGGACCAAGCAGGGGAGGAGTCAGGGCCCGAAAGGGGCAGGGTAGGACGCCAATGAAAAGAAAGTAGGCAGGATTTTGATGAGACAAACTTGGTTGGGAGCAGGGATACCTTAAACGTGGAGCCTTGAAGGCCCTGCCTAATCCCAGCTAAGTAGGGCCCAGGAGGAGGCAAGGTACCTGGAACTGGATGTGGCTTTCGGATTCTTCAAGCAGTGCCACAAGCAAGCTGCAGTCAAGCCAGTGAGCTCCAGCAGGATAGACCTCCGGGATGTATTTCTCTAATAAGGCTTTCTAATGACCTCATGCATTTTTTAGCTGCTTCCATAAAGTTAAATCAAGTTCTAATGAGACTGTCATTCTTCCGTTTTTGTTTTGCTTTTTTGGATGCTCTTTCCTGAGGAGACAACTCTTCTCAGGAGCCTGGGGGAGGACCCTGTGTATCTCACAGGGAGGGAGGCATGGGATGTTGGGTAGGAGGAAGCAGCAGACACTAAGGAGTTGTCCTGCAGCCCTGGAGGCTGAAATGAGCAGAGGGAGGAGCCTTAGAGAGGGAGTTCACAGTGACCAGAAGAGGGCAGGTGCCAGGGAACGTGCATGGCCACTGGGGTTAGACTGCTCTGGTGACAGTAGGTGGCCAGCTGTGGCCAACGACAGAGGGAATCCCACTGGGGTGCTGACCTGAGCCCATCCTGCAGCCACTGGGCGCACCAGCTCACGGAGCCAGTCCCTGAGGTCCACGGATGCCCGGCGACGCGAGGAGTTTGGGGATGAGCTGCAGCAGTTTGGGTTCCCACCCCCTCAGACTGGTGAGCTGGCAGGGTGGGTAGGACCGGCCTACACACAGCCTAAGGCAGGGAGGGGAGAGTGTTGGCTTCTGTGACCAGGTCAGTAATGGCCACTAGTTGCCAGTAGTAATTCTAATAACTTACTGCTATAATGTATCTCGTCTTGTTGGTGCCAGACTCCTGCTCCAGGCAGACTGGCTTAGGGGAGCTGCTGGAGAGTTAGAAGCCTGTCCCAGCCAGACCCGACCTTGAGGGAACCCAGGCAGTAGGGAAGTAGGCCATTTTGAGACCCACAGAACCCCAGCCTGTGGCCTATTGCCCCAAAGCAAGGTCCTGCCTCCCCAGTGGGTCTCCGAATCTGGCATGGCCCTATGGGAAGGGGCATGGCAGGTCCATGATGCTGCAGGACTGGACCTACAGGTGACCCAGCAGCTGAGGAGTGGTCTCCGTGGAGTGTCTGCTCCAGCACCTGTGGGGAGGGATGGCAGACCCGCACCCGCTTCTGCGTGTCATCCTCGTACAGTACTCAGTGCAGTGGACCTCTGAGGGAGCAGCGGCTCTGCAACAACTCAGCCGTGTGTCCAGGTGGGTGGGGCAGAGCCTAGGGTGGATGGGACAGAGCCCAGAGTGGGTGGGGCAGCGCCCAGGGTGGGTGCGGCAGAGCCTGGCGTGGGCGGGGCAGAGCCCAAGGTGGGTGGGACAGAGCCCAGCGTGGGTGGAGCAGAGCCCAGGGTGGGGCTTAGGGATTGGGGTGGGGCCTCTGGGCAAGGGAACCAGTTGTGGCTTCCTGTCTCTCCATAGTGCATGGAGCCTGGGATGAGTGGTCACCCTGGAGCCTCTGTTCCAGCACCTGTGGTCGTGGCTTCCGTGACCGCACTCGTACCTGCAGGCCCCCTCAGTTTGGAGGCAACCCTTGTGAGGGTCCTGAAAAGCAAACCAAGTTCTGCAACATTGCTCTGTGCCCTGGTAGGTGAGAGGGAGTGAGTGGCTGGGGGTTGGGAGATGGACCCAGCAGACCACTTGCCAGTTCAGGAAGCCAGCTTGATCCACCTCAGGTTCACGTCAGAATGCTCAGAGGTTAAAACCTCAGACCACACTAGTTTGAGATAAGACCCCATGGTATTCCTTCCCTAATCCCAGGTGGGTTGTTGCGTGGTGCCCCTGGGGTGTTCTTATGTGTCCCAGGCCAGGCCTCGGGGTTCTGGGTATTCACACCAGCTTTGTGTTCCCTTCCTCCCCCGGGCCGGGCAGTGGACGGAAACTGGAACGAATGGTCTAGCTGGAGCACCTGCTCTGCCAGTTGCTCCCAAGGCCGCCAGCAGCGGACCCGAGAGTGCAATGGTCCTTCCTACGGAGGCGCTGAGTGCCAGGGCCACTGGGTGGAGACTCGAGATTGCTTCCTGCAGCAGTGTCCAGGTCAGGATGCCCTCGCAGGGCTCAGGGGAAGAAAGGATGGGGCCCACTGGGGAGATATGGCTGTTGGGGGTTGGTGTAAGATAGAAATGGGGTTGGAGTTCAGGCTACCGTGTTGGGATGAAAGTACAGGGAGGTGATGGAGTTGGGGTTAAGGGTAGTGTGGTAGGGTTAGGGTGCAGGGTAGGGTATTGGAGTTGAAATACAGGATAAAAATGGTGGGGTTGAGTGCAGTTTAGAGTGCTGGGGTGGGGTGAAGTGTTAAGCAGGTTCAGAATGGCGTAGTGGAGTAAAGATTGGTTGACAGGGTTCAGCTGCACATCTTTTCAAAGTCAAGCTGGTTTCAGACCTCTCCTCTGCTGATCTCAGTTCTGTCTCTTCGTGGCTCTTGCTCCAACACTCCTGTGTCTTTTGTCTTTGTCTCCTCCCTGTGTCTCTGTCTCTCTATGTCTCCCTGACCCCACTTCCCTACTGATCCTGGGCCCTACCTCCTCTTCTTGTCACCTGTGCCCTGTGTTTGGCCACCCTTGCAGTGGATGGCAAATGGCAGGCCTGGGCCTCATGGGGCAGCTGCAGCGTCACGTGTGGTGGTGGAAGCCAGCGACGGGAGCGTGTCTGCTCTGGGCCTTTCTTTGGGGGAGCAGCCTGCCAGGGCCCCCAGGATGAGTACCGACAGTGTGGCGCTCAGCGATGTCCTGGTGAGACTCTTCCCATGCATTCTGGCTCAGGGGGATTGGGGACAACTGAGTATCACTGCCCCTCAACCCTGTCCACCTCACTGTCTGGCCCCTTGCAGAGCCCCATGAGATTTGTGACGAAGACAACTTTGGGGCCGTGGTCTGGAAGGAGACCCCAGCTGGAGAGGTGGCTGCAGTCCGGTGTCCCCGCAATGCCACAGGTAAGAGTGGTAGCCTGAGAGTCCCTGCCCTGTCTTGTCTTTAGACAACTGTCCTCATAGGTCTGAGACCCAAAGCTCGTGCTGCTTCTAGCATCTAGAACATCATGGAGAACAGGACACATGCCAAGCCCTCTTTGAGCATGGACAGCTCTGTGATCCTTATACCATTGCCCCTATATAGGGGGGAAGCAGGCAGAGAACAATCAACATACCTACCTTCCCTGGGTTTGCAGTCTGCAGGAGGGATGTTGCCTTTGAACACCAGTAGTTCCCACGTTAGCCCTAGGGACTGATGAAGTACTTTCAGAAAATTGGAACAATAAAGTGGGTGCCATGGGAAAGGGGCCTGCCCAGCCACATGTGTTGTTGGTCTTCTTCACTTTGAAAGAATGTGGGTAGTTTCTGTACCTGGGAGGCTGTGGGGAGGAAGCTCAGGTCAAACCCTGACTCTGCCATCCTTCACTATATTACTTTGGAGAAGTGACTTGGTTTCTCTGAGCTTCAGTTTTCTCTTCTATAAAATGAGGACTTGAGGTCATCCTTTGCATTGGGCTGCTGTGGGCAGTGGGTAAATTGGCCCTCAGGGGCAGGGAAGGTGAGGGATGCTGAATCTTGCGAGCCATGCTTGCTGTTCCTATCCTTGGCTGCACCTTCTTGCTGGCATATTGAAAACCCAGAGAAATAGAAGAAAGGCAACACCCATCCCTCATGGCACCCTTCCCTGGCCTCTTCCTACATTCACGGTCACAGCATTTCCCTTATTTTTGCTCAGAATTTGCCCAGGTTTCTGCATCAGGCCACCCACACTATGGTTCCTGTCTGGTGACAGGGCTTGAAACATCCCATGTGGTTGTTTTCATGTATTTCTTTACTGTACCTGCTTGGAAGTCTTCTGGGGGCCTTTCTATCTAAAAGTGGAGCTTTGTGTTTTGGGGTGTTGATTTTTGGTACCAAGTGGCCCCTAAAGGCTATACAGGAAGCCCCCTGAAGCCCTGTGAATGTGCCAGGGTATGGCAAGGGGCTAGAGGACAGCTGTCCCTAGGCCTCTAGATTGCCAGGGACTCCAAGCGTGGCTCTGGCTGACCCCAGAAGCCCCCGCTTGGTTGAGGATCCCACCCTTACACAGCAAGACTCCTGAAGATACAATGTTTGTTAGGCCCCCAGGACCCAGAATAGTGCTGAAGTTTGTGTCACACAGGAACAAAGCCAACACAGCCTGCTTCTAGCTCCCTAGGGTCCCAAATAGAGCACTCCTGCCTGAGGGTTGTGGGTAGGACCCCCCCAGAGCTTCTTGGGGGAGCAGTCAGGTGAGGAAAGGAGGTCTCCCCAGGCCTCATCCTGCGCCGCTGTGAGCTGGACGAGGAGGGCATCGCCTACTGGGAGCCACCCACCTACATCCGCTGTGTCTCCATTGACTACCGGAACATCCAGATGATGGTGAGGTTGACCCCAGGGGCTCCAGGAAACCATTCCCCTTCTTTGGACATGAGGACGGGGGCTGTAGGGACCTTCAGGCATCGGAGGTCCCTGGCCCTGACCTGGCTATGACCTGCAGCAGTGACAGCATCCAGCCCTTTCCATTTCCCCAGACCCGAGAGCACCTGGCGAAGGCTCAGCGGGGGCTGCCAGGGGAGGGGGTCTCAGAGGTCATCCAGACACTGCTGGAGATCTCACAGGATGGCACCAGCTACAGCGGCGACCTGCTCTCCACCATTGATGTCCTGAGGAACATGACAGAGATCTTCCGCAGGGCTTACTATAGCCCCACACCCGGGGATGTGCAGGTGGCTCCCAGGGGCAGCTCCAGTGGGGGACACTTGGGGAACTGTCAAAGGAACCAACCCAGACCCCAGCCAGAGATTAAGTCCCCAATGTTGAGTGTGGGCTGGGCTGTGACCACACCATAATAATGAGCCTTAAACATAGTCACACATTGAATCCTTGCCTGGTCATAGGATGATTTCTGTTCCAGGTTATGTACTGAGTCCTGATCCTAGTCACAAACTCTGGCCTTAATGAGAGACTAGGTCCTGTCCTTGGTCAAAGGCTAAGCCTTAACCCGTGTTATACTAGCCATAGATTAAATCAGTCATCCTGGAATCTGCTCACACACTGAGCCCTGGCCTTGATCACATATACACCTTCACCCTAATCACATACTGAGCCTTGATCTAATTCTGGCTACACTCTGTCCTCTGATCCTGGTCACACATAGCCTTGATCCTGGCTACTGAGTCCTGATCTTGGACATTCATTGAGCCCTGGTCCCAGGACAAACTGAGCCCTTACCTTAGTCCTAGGCTGAGCTGTGATCTTCCTCATGCACGGATATCTTATTCCATTTCTCTGGTTCTTCTTACTTCCAGAACTTTGTCCAGATCATCAGCAACCTGCTGGCAGAGGAGAACCGGGACAAGTGGGAGGAGGCACAGCTGGTATGTGTGGAAGTCTGGAGCCCTCAGTGCTAGCCACAGGATCAGGATAGAAGCAGGCAGCTCTAGGCCCTCTACACTCGAGGCCAGCCATGGTGGGGCCTTGCTGGGTCTTCGGTATGAGTCTCAACACTGCTTCCTGTTGATTGTGTGACCTTGAAAAAGCCCCTTAACCTTGTGGGTCTTGTTTCTCTACCCGGAAAGTAGGGTGGCTTTTTCCTGGGAGTAAAAGAGAAGAACAGGAACGATGTTAACATCGCTGGGTGTGTCCCGGGCTGGGGATGAGGGGTGGTGAGTCTTCCCCATCCGATCCTTTTATTCCAGTTGATCACAAACCTGCTATCACACTAACTCCAGGGCAGTCACCCTCACGGGGGAATATTTGAAACACTTCGCTTGCTCCACCTTAGGACCGATCCCTATGGGATACTCACCAGCTTCTCTGATCTTGTCCATAAAATGCAAGTGGACACTTAGAAACCAAGAGCCTGCTACCCTGCTATGCAAGGGAATGACCCACAGGGCCCAGAAAAAGAGGTAGCAGAGGAGGGAAGGAGGCAGGAGGAGAGGGCCAGGGCACAAGCATCTTCTCCGGCTTGAGTTTCCCTACCTCTCTCCATCTCAGATGGGCCCCAATGCCAAGGAGCTCTTTCGGCTGGTGGAGGACTTTGTGGATGTCATCGGCTTCCGCATGAAGGACTTGAGGGATGCCTACCAGGTGACAGACAATCTGGGTAAGCCCCTCCATGGCCTGGTCCCGGGACTCTTGGCAGAGTCTCCATCTTATTTTTTTTCCCTATTTATAAGATAGGAAATTACCACACCCTTCTGCAACCACATAGTAGCCTTGGGCTTAGGTCCAGTTTAGAGGGTTGGTATCAGGAATCTTTTGGGACCTCAGACTCACAGGGACATGGAGATCTCATACCAGGGACACATTCAGGAATCCAGCCACCCCTAGGGTTAAAGCTCACTTCATCCTGTCACCCCAGAGACACCTGCTGTTTGTCTGCCCTCCAGTTCTACAAAGCCTAGGGACAGTGGGGCAGGAGACTGGTTTGCCTGTTGCTGTTTCCTCCTTCCTATATCATAAGAGTGGAGATGTAGACTGGGCAGTGGATCTGAGGGTAGCTAGTAGCTGTCCTCACAAATATATACATATACATATACATATACATATACATATACATATACATATACATATACATATACATATAC